GCACCTGTTTGTGGTAAGCAGTCACACTAGCATAGACAAGCCCTCCACTCCCTGGAGACGGTGATAGTATCGCGATTGTAGTTGCGTTGTACTGTTACATGGAATCCTGTTTTCTCCATGCATTTCACCGCGGGTCCCTGTGTATACGACCCCTCCCCTTTCGTTCGGCCAAATACGACCCCCTCGTTGTTCTTTGCGCAACGGGCGATTGACCTTGGTTGACGCTCCCGGGGCAGTGATATGATAGGACGACGGGCTCTTCAACTTTTGAAGCTCTTGTTCGTCCACTGTCTTGAACGTGGAAAGGGTGGCAACGGTCGCGCCCTTGATACATAGCACATATCCTCATCCAGCCGCTCTCTACTTCAGCTCTCATCTCCACTCTCCGTCAATGCGTGTAGAAGCTCTCATCCACTCACAAGCAAGTGTGATCGGCTCCCTTCAAAACCATCAGGTGGTGTAATCAGCGGTTCACATTTCATCGAAATCAAATTACCGCGGGCGGTGCCTTTAAGCGATGGATTGCTAGGCTGGTTCAGAGTCCGCGATCCATCGCGACATTTGCGCGAACAGCGCGACGGATCGCAGAAATCGCAGCGAGGTGATCTCCAATCCCGCCGCCATTTCTGCTTGATAGTGATGGACTGAATGACGACTGTTCATGATTCTACTTGTTTCATATTCAGTGTTTCAAATGTTCAAATGGGGCTTGCGATTTTTGCGATTCGCGCGATTCGCGCGATCGCGCGACGGATCGCGGACTCTGACATCAACCTCAGGCAGGCCGATGTCAATTTTTCTTTTCGCCTTCTTCTTTAGCTTTTCCCTCTTCTTACGCAGACCTTGTTACAACTTACCCATTCAAAGCCTCAGTTTTTTCATCGATCAAGGTAATGGTCTGAATTTTGCGAACTCTGCTAGAGCGCTAGCACCCAAATCATGCTTTCCTGAATGCGTGAACGTAGACTAGTACACTAATTCTTTCAGTTTTGGACACATATGTGAACGATGGGAGTGACAATTCCGGACAAACCATTCGCCTATTTCTACTGGTCAATACCCCTACTCAGGGTGTGGAAGTTAACGTAAATGCTGATGGAAATAATTTAAAAGTTCTACCAGAATGCCAATTCAAGTATGCGAAATCTATGATTCTTCAATCGTTCTACCTCTTCTCGCTATACAAAAGTGTTGCAGAGCTAATCGCATCGTTTCTCAGTTTTCCGCTGACAATGTTCGTTCCATCAATTAAGATTCTCATCAGATATGCAAAAGAAACTGTCCAGGTTCTTTATTCACTTCCCAAGGACAACGAAGAGCACTGGAATCATTGCACGAACGCAACCAGTGGAGTTTTGCATTTCGGATCTCATAGCAACTTATGGTTAGAACCGGGTCATTGGATGAAAGGTGCTGGTAGGCCCAACTTCCCTCTACTCTTTACAACTAAAGCGACAAATCACAAAGACAAGATTGTTTCATTTTGATTGACACTCAATCTTCTCTGAATTTCAGACCTTTATCTACCAGTGGGATACCACGTGGGAGTTTCAGCTGCTACTGGTGAACTTACGAGTGG